CCGTTGATCGATAATTCAGCATTTGATTAGACTTTTATCCAGTCAAATGGTAGTCAGTTACTAGGATTTCACTTGTTAACAGAGAGTTGATAGACTTGAACTGGTCACATCTTATTGATTAGTGATTTATGGATAACTGTTTAGCTTAATTATTAACCAATACTTACAATGGTTATTTATTTTTGTTTCGCATCCATAAAAAGAGGGAATTTTCGCACTGTTAAGTAAATTATAAATTTGATACATTTGTGCATTCACAAATGTTCCTAGAGTTTGCTGTCCCCTCTCTGTTTTCTAACAGCTAGACAGTTTTTTAAAAGCCTACAGATATTTCGCTAATATAATGAACCGATCTAAGTTAGATCATCATTAAAAACCTAAAGCACTGAATAGCTGTTTAGTCCTAGTATTGAACTTTTGAGCAGTATACATCCACGACCCCTTATTCGGTATCAAGTGGTGAAAAAACTATAACCTTGAAAACACTGTATTACATAAGAACTTTCACCTAATTTAGAGCGATTATTTTCACAGTATTTGAGAGCCGAGTTGATGTAAGATATTAAATAGGAATAATATATTTGTAAAATCTCGGTGAATGAATTTGAAGTAAATCCAACGTTTCGCCTGGCAATCTGACAAATATATTATTCCTATTTAATGCTGTATTACAGTTAATGAAGATATTTGTACATTTATTTATTATGTTAGCGATGAAAGTTTCAATTTACACTAAACAAGCTGATTTGTGAACTAAATTCACTTGGTGTTGTTTACTTGTATCTTATTGTTATTTAGGGCTGCAATTGATCAGTTTCTTGTTGGCATATGTGCATTTTTGACTTGTGAACTGATTAAAATTTTCATCGAAAGGCGCCGACAATGACAACAACAATAATAGATGATACATTATCCGAAAACTTTATCATTATAATAATAATGACAAATTATATTTCAATCTATAATTACCTATCACCATGACTAATCATGTGAATAGTTTATTTTTCTATCACAAGTAATAACAATAATCAAGAGAAATCGATAAAAGACACGTGTCATAAAATGATGTATAATTTGAAACCCTCGAAACTAGGTAGCGATAGATTGTTGTCAACATCAATTTCATGAAGACTTTCGTCAATTGCTTTGATGCACATGTTTATTGATTTACTTTCTAGGGCCATAAAACATTAACAGTTTTCATTGTCTGAGTTACGAAATACTTTTGACTTATTTAGGCTCTTTGTTCATTATTAGCTTCAAAACCATGCAGTGATGTTAAAAAACGATCAAGCTAGTCCCTATGCTATACTCTCGCCTCATAATAAGTGAATAACAGTATCTCTTCGTTCTCTATACATAGAATGATATGACTAGATAATTAAGGTTATAATAATAATGTAAATTGTCACAAAATTAACCTTTGGTACTTGGTTTTGTAAACTAGAGATCACCTGAGAACTGGTTTGCTCTGAGATGAGTTTGGACTAATGATATTTCCTCTTTTCTGAAAATGTAGTAATTTCTTGTCTAAACACACCTGCCTTATAACAATTTACGTATTTCAAGTTTATTTCAATGAGGCAGATAAAAATATAACTTGAAATGTTGCATGTTGAGTTAACATTTATTGTGTTAAATTTGAATTTTATCCAAGTAGTTTATTTAAAAACAAATAATTGCTTTATTTTCAAAGTTGAATTCACGAGTCAATCTAAACTAGACCAATATTAAAAACCTTGCGGATTTACGATCCCGTACGTAGGACTAAAACCTAGGACGTTGGGTCTCGCGCATGAACACCTAACCTCTAGACCACTGAGTCGACATCCGACGGTGTTACTGTCTAAATTCAATCGGTCCATGATCTTGTGCAACCCCTCATCCGTCTTCTGAGGTAGATTCCACTGGTTACGGCTTTTCACTAGAACTCCAGGAAATACATCTTGAAGCTAGTCGCTAATGAGCACATAACTATTATCGGGATGGGGATTTGTGGAGATTGCAGTATTTTCAAAGTTGGTAGTGTTCTGGCTTCTAAGTGAATTCAATTTTGAAAATACTACGATCTCCATAAATCCCCATAATTTTGTTTTACATCAAATCACACTTTAAAGACAATTAGTTACATTTTATATCAGACGTGGTTGTACTCAGTATCCAATTAAATTATTTTGGAATGAATTGCTAACTATTTTTAATTTGCATCCATTTGGTAATATGCTCTTGTGTAAATCACATTCACTGAGATACCATCTTTATAGTAGCGTCCTTTGATACTTGTTTTTATTCTCATACCCTAATTGGAGTAAATAGATCCTCATGAGGATTAAAATCAGGGTAGTCAAGTATATTAGCAAGTGCATAGCCTTTATACAACTGAGTTGGCATCCAATTACCCAATTTTCTTACTTTAACCAGTTCTCGATATTAAGAGACGATAGTTAAGTAACATTGGTGATAGCACTTTTTAATTCTGACATGGCTGGATACTATCAGTCACGACTTTCTGTTAGATTTTCGAAAATATATCTTACAACAATTCATTAGTAAGCAAGTGGATGTAACTTAACTAAGTGATTTATAGAGGTTAACCCCTTAATGTATTTAGAAGAACTAAAGATGTGAGATATGAAATCGGTTACATGTATTAAAATGTAAAGGATCTTAAAGAACCCAATATTGTCTTGCCAATAAAAAAAACTGTTGAATCGGCTTCCGGAGAACTTCGACGGAGCCTCCAGAGGCTCAAAAAGGAGCCAAAGAGCCCCAGCCAATCAGAATACGATGGAACATTCTAGAGTTCCAATGTGGCGTGCTACTATTGGTCGGTAGCATAATATGTCGTTAATGGATTTGCTGAAATATGATGTTGATTTAACATACGCTAACATCTATAAATACCCATGATTTTCTGTACAGGATTGAACCTTGGAGTAAAGTGCTTCCCACATATTTTGTGGCTTTTTTCCCGTCTTCAAGTCGCTGCATAGTTCTAACTCGGGGGTTACGAAACTAGCTTAGGATCCCAATATAGCGTACAATTGACAAGACGTATCAAAAACCATTATCGTTTTTTTTAATTTAGTCAAAAATACCATACAAATATTTTCATCTCTGTAATTTTCCACATTCAGTGTAACGTTGAATGTGTAATACATCATAGTTAACTACACATATGAAGTGATATGCGACAATTTATAGAATCAGAAGGGGTTTTATGGAGGTTTCAGTATTTTCATAGTTGAAATCATGAGGCAATTGAAGCTAGACCACCATCGAAAACCTAGAAGCACTGGACGGCCGTTTCGTCTTATTATGGGACTCCTCAGCAGGGTGCATCCACGATCCCGCACTCGCGAGATACGAACCCAGGACCTATCAGTCTCGCGCTCGAGCACTTAACCACTAGACCACTGAGTCAGCATCCAACGGTGTTAATGTCTAACTTCAACCAATCCACGATTTTGAGCAACCATTCACCAATTGTCTTCAGTGAGTTGATATCTCTACAACAGACTTGGTTGAATTCCACTGGTCACTGTTTTAAAGAATGTTTTGATCTTATTCCTTACTGTTAAGTAGAACAATTTTAAAAATAGATAATCGTTTTGTTGTAAATGTAACATCAAAATAATTATCGACTAAATTTATCTATCTAAAATTGTTTGCATACTTATCATATCAAGTTTTATCAAATTAATAATTTACATTTGAAACATTGGTGAAAACTTTTCTCCGGTTTACGAATAACTGACGAGGAATTTAAAGATCAAAAAGGTGGAGGTCTTAAAAAATAGTTTATCAGAAGATTACATGAATGACTGTTAAGAGATAGTTCTTGTTGACAATATAGGCCGTTAGCCTGGAAACAACAATAGAGCAGGATAGCAAAGTTCACATTTTTAATTAGCTCTATATCAAAGATGGCCAGTTTTTGTTTATTCCAGGAGAAATGATTGTCAAAAACAATTTTTGTAAATGTCTGTCTCAAGACAGTGTAAATTCATCTCCAGGAGTTAACAGATAAATCACTCTACACAAATAACTTCTTTTATTAAATACAACTCAATTTTGGTAATCTTGTTGTTGTTAAGATGGCAAAATGTCGTTTGCAAAATGAAAATATCCATCGGACCCAGTGGCGAGACTATAATTTATGGATGAACCAATCAGATTTAAGATAGAAAATCTTGGACTTTGGCACGAAATCCATCTACTCATTTGTCTAAATACCGTTTTCGGCATTATAGCTTATGTCAGTTTGTAATGAAAACATCAAATCTAGTTATTAGCCCTAATGTTCAAATGTAAATCTGAATCCTAATTCCTTATACTAATATATAACCGTCATTTAATCCAAGTAAGTAGGTGGACATTCTAAGGTCATTTTAGCGTTGCTCAAACATCGTTCATAAATTACAGTCCTATCGATATCGCTAATATTATTAGAAAAATAACAAGGGAAACCCTGAGGTAAACAGCATGAAATAGTATTCAAAAACTCAACATTCCTAGGTGGACAAATGAATTAATAAATCCATACTGCAGATATAGATTCTAAACCTTCCAACAAGAAATAATCCAGCAACCAGTCACTTTATATACTGATTTCATACTTGCCATTCATAAAAGGTAATAAAAGGTAAATCAACGATAGTTGAAAGCGTCAGTCAATTGAAGCTAGACCACCAGAAAAAACCTGGGTGCACTGGACGTCCGTTTCGTCCTATTATGGAACTTCTCAGCTAGCTTCAATTGACTTACGCTTTCAACTATGAAAATAATAAATCTTCACAAAACCCCTTCTGATAATAATAAATCAACGATAGTCTACAAAATGAACAGTAATAGGATTCATTTAATTTGCTTTATATTTATTCATGCATCTCTAGTTTAGATCGTTTTTCAGTAGTGTAGAGTGAATGATGTCATTTATTTACTAAAGCATTGCATACATTGATGATGATATATTTTTTTTAAAAACAAACAATACTTACCTCACGTCCAGTTAATAAATGAATTGCTAATTTAACTTTAGCAAAATTTCCTTGTCCTATAGTACGTATAATTTTATATTTTCCATTAGAATTAATTTGGCACTTTGTATTATCAATCCATGAATGTTGAATTTGTGTTTGTTTAAATGAATCATTGAAAGATTTTATAGAATGATTTGAATTTTTAGATTTATCCATTGATAATATAGAAATATTATGATTCATTTTTAAATTTAGAATGTTTTCATTGTTAGCATTGAGATTCATTGTGCTGTTTAACATTATATAATTATTATTATTATTATTCATTCTCTATTATGAGTTATTTACTCATATACTCTTTGTTTATTTTTATAAGATTACAAAAAGCCGGTACCCAAAATATTAAGTTACTTGTTTAAAATTTTTTATTTACAATTGTACCATTCATTTCTTTATTTAATTCATCATCATATAGGGTGAGTGAAAAAATATGTATATATTATTTCATTTATTCAATTTGATCAATAAAAGTCTTTTTCTAATTGTTTAAGCGAATAAACTGATTAAATATTTAAGTAGGCGGGTGTTTGAATTAAACTAAAAAAGATAAGTTAATAATAAGTAGTTAAATGTTGTTATATGTATAGAAAGATTAAAAAAGAAAAAGAAATAACCAATGTACCTGATCATATGTTTGTATATGAAATAGTTTGGATAATAATCGAGGATGAGGAGTGTATATTTTACTTTATTGTCTTTCTACTTAAAACTGTTTATTGTTTAAATGATACACACTTATAATCTATATGTTTTCACTAGTTTACGGATATTTTAATGCAAATATCGTAACAATAGTGAAGAAGTTTAAATTGTTAATTAAAATTGTAACTTTGTAGTTGTTAAGAGTTTTAATGCGTTTATCAACTATTTAAATGAGTCTGAAGGTAGGCATCATTAGAGGAACAAATACTGTTACTAATTAAATACTTTGGTGATTTTGTCTAGATTTTGAAAATCATCATGACAACAATAATATAATATTGATAATATGCGTACTTGTGATTAACTTTAAAATGAATCTCACAAAATTAAAATAAGAACGTTGTTAAAATTTTAATTTTTCGAAGAGAGCACTTTTCATTGTCACAATAGATGAGTAGAATGTTAATTTATGGATGATATTTAATCATATGAAGTGTAGATAAGTGATGGCTATTCGTAAGGTTGCATTGCTAAGTCCCGGATTGCTTTTCACACATAGACAAGAAAGATCATTTACAGGGATAATAGGTGTTTTGTGTGATAAAATTACACACTCATAAACGAACTATCAACACAAAGCGAAAATGATAGGATACACGATTGGAGGGAAGCAGTTCTTAGCCCACCAGGAGTTCAGTCAATGAGAATCTGACTGTTCATCTTAATTTCTACCCATCTTATCAAACCTGTAATTGCATATGAGACAAAAATCCCTTGATCACGGTGGATGATTTCGTAAAAATAGATGAAAGTTAAACATGTGTTCCGTTGAATTAGAACTCAATAACTTTGTAGTGACCTACATTTTTATGACGAGAATGCGACTGGTGTAATGGAAACAATTATTATTACAACCAATTGTACCAGTGATTGTTTTACTGTACTTGTTTGTTTAAATGTACCAAAAGCACTTTTCGTTCCGTTGTCCATCTTGTTCGTGCGAACGCTCTCATGCTCTGTCATTTTGCTTGTAATCGTTGGCACGTCTCGGTATTCTTTCGATACTACGAGATCGCCAATAAATATATCTCATCTGGACCAATTACAGCCTTCTGGTTTTCGGTATATCGAGGGATCCAAGTCGATATCTGGCACATAATCTTATTGTAGTAGTGATCAGTTAGTCGCAACTCAACACCCATCTACAACTTAAAACTATCATTGCTCATTCAAACATCTGAACACCATGTTTCTGATTTTATTAAGAGAATTTTTACCACATTCCTGCAGATTAATTAATAAGTCAGAACAAACGGTTATCAATTATTAAGCACTTATGCATAGTTCTCCAGCTGAGTGTAGCTGGTTTTGCAAGTCTAACTGAGCTGATGATATGCTGAACAAGGAATTAACAGTTTGGAGCGCGAATGATATAAGTAGCTGACACTTTGCTATAGTCTATGATATAAAATCACACTTCAAGAAGTATTTTCATAACAATGTTAATTAGTTATATCCGTTGGTTATAACCATTAAATCTTACGATACTGTAAATTTATTTGTACAAAGTTATTGGTTGATCTATGTGAAGTACAATTCACTTTATTCTGTACAAATATGATTGTTAATTAATTTAAACGCTTTTAAGTTTGATAGTTAGAAGCAGTCATCAGGAAGCTGTGGACCGACGTATCGAGACTGATGGTTAGTAACAGGATAGAGTTCTTACAATTACATGCTGTGATCTAGCTAAAATCGGAATACGCTGATTAATCCATTTTCGACCAATCAGCGGTAGCCCAAGTATCATGATGTCAGGTTCTTAAGCAAGTACAATATAAACAATACTTTTACTGTTATCTTTTTTGTTCAGGTTATTTGAAAATGCATTGCTCAACTTTATTTCTTGTTCTGATTTAAGAAGAGTCAACTGAAATGTATCATCCAAGAAATGCTAAACAAAAGAACAATGGTGTACAGCAAGAATCCATACTCGAAATGTCTAAGAGGATTTGTTTCTCTTGAAACTGTTACCTTCATTATTGTGGTTTAAGTAGATTTAATTTTGAAAACCAGTGTAGTTTTACTCGAAGTTGTAAATAGGTTATTTTCGATAACCATCAATAGGAAGCAAATCTTAGTTCATTGATTTCTACCAACTACTTATAATTATCCAACATACTAGGTGAATTACAGTTTGGATTATTTTACGAAGAATTTTATTCAGTACATTGTTTTCTTTTAAAATTTGGAATATGGAAATGGACAAATATAAATATAGATGATACTTTTAAGATAAAGTAATGGCATATATCAATTCAATAAACAAATATATAAAACCATTACTTACTTAGAGAGTTACTTTCGTCTGTTACTCCCAATGGAGCATAGGCCGCCGCCAACCAGCATTCTCCAATCCACTCTGTCCTGGGCCTTCCTTTCTAGTTCTATCCAGTTTTTGTTCATTCTTCTCATGTCTGTCTCCATTTCTCGACGTAATCTGTTCTTTGGTCTTCCTCTTCTCCTTTGGCCTTCAGGATTCCATGTGGGGGCTTGTTTTGTGATGCAGTTGGATATAAAACCATGTGATGTAAAAAATTAAGTTCTAAATAGTATGGTTGTTCACAGGTCAACTTTACAATTCATATTTTCTATGTGATCAAAATGGAATGTATACAACTTTCAAGTGAGAATAAGTTTATCAATTATTTTTTCAATATGATAGGAATACAAAATATCAGGGTTGCATTATCTCGTTCCATGACAAGCTACCACAATAATTATAATGTAAAAGCTTTAAACTAAATCTGTTTTTAAACTACAGAAACCACAGAATAAATTCCAGGAGCAATAAATACTAACTCGATAAGTAGATATTACAACTAATATGCCTACATGGTTAGCAGAGATGGATAGTGGCTAGCAGTGGAATCCAGGACGCGCGTTTCGTCCTATTTGGAACTCGTCAGCTGGATGTACCTGCATCTCAGAGTTGATGTTTACTCTGGGACTCGAACCCAGTACCCTCGCTTCAAACGCCATCGCGTTATCCACTCGGCCACTGAGTCCTGATAGCCACTTGCTTGTGCGATGGGGTGTGCACATATGCCAATTAGAGACTGACCAGTTGCAGTCCTAACAAATCGATGGGAAGATTCAAACAAACAATACTAAGTTGAATTTAAACTTCACCCCATTGCACAAGCAAGTGGCTATCAGGACTCAGTGGCCGAGTGGATAACGCGATGGCGTTTGAAGCGAGGGTACTAGGTTCGAGTCCCAGAGTAAACATCAACTCTGAGATGCAGGTACATCCAGCTGACGAGTTCCAAATAGGACGAAACGCGCGTCCTGGATTCCACTGCTAGCCACTATCCATCTCTGCTAACCATGCTTGCGAATTAAGGCTATATCGAGGCAATACGCACAGTATGCACATATGCGAATTAGAGACTGACCAGTTGCAGTCCTAACAAATCGATGGGAAGATTCAAACAAATTTAATATGACTACAGTTTGACTAAATCGCCAAACTAAATGCAAAAGATTATCAACTTAAGCACTTACAGTTCATTTTCATTAATAAATAAAAATAGGGTAAGATCATAATTTTCATGGTGATCATCAGGATTTACTCCTTTGGGTAATCAAATTGTATTGTTGTTTTAATTCAACTGTCACTGATTACATTTATAGCCATTTTTCGAAAAACTAAGGGTTTGAAAACAATTCACGCCACGAATTGAAAAAAACGTCTATGAAAATGATTGCTAAACGACCAATGAAAATCAAGAGACACTGGACGTACGCTTTGAATTAGTAGGGAACGAATCCCTAATGCATACTCCCGACTCCATCAGAAAGGTTTCATAGGGTTTCGATGTCTCATAGTAAATCCATTGTCCTTAGACTACTAAGTTGAAATCCGACTGTTTAGGTTACCTACATTGGCCAAATCACGATGTGGAGTGACTATCATACATGGAGATCAGAAGTATCTATCATACTTCCAATATTATTGAACTGTACTGGCCATAAATTTTACTAGGAATTCAGAAACTTCTCAATATCAATGACTAATTAATACATCATTATTATTAAGTTTCAACTTTATAGAGTACTTCCTGTCTAGTAATCCGTTATGATCAGAATCAACTTGATGAAGACCAAATAAATTTCATTCAAAGCTTCACCCTTATCGATTAACAAAGACCGGGGCCACAAATGATTAACGATTTTTGCTTTACCGGAACATTCCAAGTCTCATCATGAGTACATCTTCAGTATGAGAAAAATTTGACAGCTAATAATGTTGACATCTAAAATATTGTTTCTAGTTAGATACTCATCAGGCTCTAATCTAATTGAAAGCAAGATTGTTCGCCTATTCATGTTCTAATTCACAATATGAAAAATTTTGAGTTATCTAAAATAACGTTTGTAATTTTATACTACTGTTTAGTAGTTTCGACAGACTGTTAACACCATAATTTGTCATTGCCTTGTTTCCATTAAGACAGCCATAATAACTTAGGCTTTTCGATCAATTTTTATTTATTTATTCATCCTTGACTGTATGGCTAATTTAAAATGCCCTTAAACACATGATTTTATATAGCTTAATCCCTTATTTCGCTGTTCACTAAATTGAAATTGAACAAACTGTTTCTGCATATAGTAGTATCGAATAGTTTCGTTCTAATGAATAGCAGATTTTTATTAAAATCATATGATAAGTGTCAGACAAATCCTCCTCGTTCATCAATGATGCTTCCCAAGTACGCGAATGTTTCCAAATCTTCCACAGTTTCTCAATCAACTGTGACTAGGTTGGCGTTCTCCGTATTGTATTTGAGAATATTGCTTTTTCATTGTGTATGTTGATACCTATTGATGCAGAGGCTGCTGCTACACCAGTTGTCTTCATCTGAATTTTTCGTGTGCATGAGATAGAATAGCTAGGTCATCTGCGAAGTCCAAATCATCTAATCGATTCTGAGATGTCCATTGTATTCCGTGCTTCCCCTAAGATGTCGAAGTCATCATAATTCAGTCAGCCACCAGAAGAAAGAGGAAGGGGGAGAGAAAGCAGCCTTGTCTGACTCCGTTCCTTACTGTAAATGCGTCTGTCAGCTATCCTCTATGAACCACTTTGCACTGTAGTCTGTCGTATGAGTTTTGGATAATGTTGACAATCTTCTCAGGAACTTCATAGTGTCGAAGAAGTTTCCATGTTTTCCTGTCCATACTGTCAAACGCCTTCTCATGGTCAATGAAGTCGATTTATAGTGACGAGTTCCACTTAACTGATTGTTCCATGATGATCCGTAGTGTCGCGATTCGGTCCGTGTATGATCGATCCTTACGGAATCCAGCCTGTTGATCTCGAAGTTGGGCGTCTACTGCGTCTTTCATCCGGTTCACCAACACTCTGTTGAAAACTTTTCCTGGTACTGACAACAGTGCCTCTGTAGTTCTCACATTTGCTCAGATCTTTCTTTGGTATCTTGGTGAGGTGTTCTTTTTTCCAGTCCGTCGGCACTTGTTCCTCCTCCCAAATCTTCTTGAATACAAGGTGAAGCATGTTTGCTGTTGCTTCAATATCTGAATTCAGCTGGTATATTGTCAAGTCCTACTGCTTTCTCGATCTTGATTTGTCTGATGGTCACCTTGACTTCTCCGACCGTTAGTGGAGTGACAGCTATAGGAAGGTCAGTGTATGCTGCTTCGATGTTCGGTGGATTCAATGGGGCTAGTCTATTCAGCAGTTCCTTGAAGTATTGTGCCCATCTTTTCCTCTGTTCTTCAATCTACGTGATTGCCTTTCTTTCTTTGTCCTTGACGGATATCTCTGGTTTACTATATCTCCCTGCTAGTTTCTTCGCCGTATCATACAGTTGTTTCATAGTCCCTTCTCTTGCAACTTTTTCCCATGTATTTCTGGTTGTAAATATAAACCCCTAGAGTGCAAATTAATAATGAAAAAATTGAGAATATATTTCAGGAATAATTTGAGGATTCGGTCAACCATGAAAAAGATATTTACCCTGAGGCAGCTTAGCAAGATATCTAAAAAGCCGTGAAAACAGTAGTAATATCTACTAGTAACTTAAACCAAAAGGTTAGAAAAACCATTTAATTTCAGAGGCGTCTGCTAAATTAATAGATACTCAAAATCACATCTCGTCTGACACAATGAGGAACGGAGAAAGCTTAAATGTAGGCCAATAAAAAGCTTACGCAATGATTGTCAACAATGGTAGTAGACAACTGCTCATACTTATCAAGGAAACGGGTGTTGAAATTCAATCTGTTAGTGAGATTACTTCAGAAAAAGACCGGACTACTATTCACTCTCAATCCAAGAGACTGGACCGACAGGCAGAACACTCTAGAGAACAGTTCAACTGGCCTTCAGATTCACTACAGGTACCCAGACGACATGAATGACGAATCGATGAAAGTCCCCCAACTGTTAGTGAGATTTAAAAGACTTTAAGCAATCTAGAGGGAGGGAGAGCAGAAGAGTCTGATGGACTAACCCCTGAGATTTGTAAGGATGATCGTTCAGTTTTAACAGTTAGATTAACTGAACTCTTAGCTAACTTCTGGAAAATGGGCGTAATCTCATGTGAACGATCTCGACAGTTCCAGTTTATAAAAAAGGACAAAATTCATCTTGTGACAATCACACAGGAATCAGTTTAACTAATATAGTGTCTAAAATACTAGCCTCAATAATATTTCGACATCTAACTAGAGCTTGTAAAAAGCAAACCCAACAAAACCAGGCTGGTTTCAAACCTGAAAGTATGGACCAACTACTTAATCTTCCTCAGGTTCTGAGAGACGCTTTTCGACTATAATAATATTCCTTGACACTAAGGTGGAGTCCAACACTATTGCTCGTGAGGTTCTGTAGCAGTGTCTATTATTGGAAGATTTACAGAAAAAGTGCGACAAACTTGTACAGGCTATCTACGCAAAAACCAGTGGTCGAATCAGAGCTTATGGCGTACGTTCATCAGAGTCGGTTACTTCAAGTGGTGTTGGTCAGGGTTGTCTGCCCTCCCTATTTTTATTTAACTCGGTCATACACATTCTTTTAAAGAGAACACTTTAATTGTCCGACTTTTCAGGGATTGATCTTTCACCAGGAGATACACCTATTGATGATACGGTTCTGTTTGGTGAAGACGCTGAAAAAACGCAGTCTTCTGACTACCTTAATTGAAAATGCAAGCATGCTTAGGATGCAGTTCTTGCCCACCAAATGTAAAATGATATTTCAGGATTGACTTGCGTCAGGGTCTGAATTAATGATAGAGAGTGAAGTAGTGGGATGTATCGCCCAACTTACTTATCTACGTTCTACTTTATGGATGTGAAAC